CCCGCCCCGCGCCGCCCCCTGGTTCAGCCTCTTTCCCCCTGCCCCCCCCCCCCTAAATATCTCCAGGCGCTGTACAAGCGCCTCAAGGGGCACCCCAGCGGCGAGGTCGGCCGCAAGGCGCGCCACCTGGTGTACGGCTTCCAGGTGAGGGAGGAACACCTGTTCCTTTTCTCCATGTTTCCGCCGCCGCACACGCCTTTTTTGGGGCCACCGGAAGAGGGCAATGCCCGCGGCCCCGCGCCTGCTTCCGCGCCGCCGCCGATGCATTCCAGGCCGCGGCCTCCGGCGCTCACGAGCGCGGCTGGGAGATGGCAGCATGCCCAACCCTGCGCGACTGGCCCCTGCGTACAAGGAGCCGTGCCGCCGCAATCGCCAGGCCGCGCCGCCTGTATCTCCTGGCCCCTGCTTCCTTGATTTCGGCCCGGCTGCTCAGTGCAACACAGCAGACCGCAGCCCCTTCGTTGGATCTTTGGAGCGACCTCACGCTTCCACACATCCCTCGTTGCAACCTTTCATCAGGCCATGGATTTCTTGAAGACCAAGGATGTGACATACTCAGTTGATAAGAAGGCTTACGACAAATACTTCAGGTGATTGGGGCGTAGGCCGACGTTGAGGGGGGGGCTTTGGCTTCGGCGGCAGCTGCCGGGCAGCTTCTCGCCGACGTCTTGTCTTGGAATCTGCTACATACCGGCAGCCGCCCGCCCCACCACGCCTGTTGCCCTCCCCACCTGTGGGGTGCCACGTGCCCTTGCTTGGCGCTTCCTGCTTGGTGCTTTGAAGCGCCCCCTGTGTGGATGAGCCTTAATGGGTGTTCCACGGGCGTCGCTCTCCCTTCGGCGCGGCCGGGGCGCTCGATGTCGCCGCTCAACAACATTCACAACCGCAGGCAGTTTGCCGACCAGTCGCGGGTGTATGTGGCGAGCGAGGAAGAGCGCGCGGCAGACGCGCTCGCATCGCGGTGAGGCCAAACCCCAACCGCCCGCGCGCTTTTCGCGTGCGCCGCACGCGTGCCGCGCGCATGCCCGGCGCCTCACCCTCTCTTGCTTGCCGCCGCGTGTGCCCGGTTCAAGCGAGGCCCCCGTAGCGCGGCGGGGCCTTGTGTCTGGGCTGGCGCCACAGGCAACGGAACGGCCCTCTTCGCCACCCATTTGCGCAGGAACGCGGCGCTCGTGGCGGCCGGCGTGGTGCTGGCGCCAGTGGCGGTGTTTGCGGCTTACGCTCTCGGGAGGTAACAGAGGGTGCCTGCTGCAAGCATGGCGAGCTTCTGGGCCGAGAACTTGAATCGCCGCAAAACAAAACACAAAGGGCTGAATGCTTTTAGCCCCGCGCACTCTCGACGGCGGTGAGGTTGAGGGGATTGAGCGACGGCGCGGCGCAGCCGGGCAAATGGCCGAGGGGGCGCCGCGCCGCGTGGATATTTCTGTATGCAAACGCGTTGTGCTGGTGTGATGAGGGCAGAGCGCGTTCGCCGGTTTGAGCCTTGAGCGGAACGGCGATCATCACTGCACAGTTTGTGTGTGTGAGTCTGTCTTGCCATCATACCCTTCCGCACCACTGAGAGCAAACTTAAATCCAGTCGGTTGGCTGAGAGAGTGTAGCTCCTTGCAACGTGTCGCGCGGATGCACATACGCACGCGCGTCTGTGGCCGCGTGGCGTGAGCGGCTCATGTCTTGTCACGCTGCTCAGTGCACCGTTGTTGTCGATTTTGCGTCATTGCATCGCGAGGCGCGGGGAGAGAACGTTGATTTTTGGTGACCATTCGACTTTTTTGTTGGGCGGCGCCTGCCTGGCCGTGGGGTGGGAGTGCTGAGGGTGGGGCAGGGGGCGAGGTGGTGCCCCCACGGCTCGTGCTGCGGGTGCTTACCTCACACTGCACACCGCTTTTATGTATGAAATTTTCTT